CCTGTGTTCCTCATCACCGTGTATTGTTCCTCTGGCTCCAAAGAATATCTGTGAGCTGAGGTGGGAGCAATCCTGTTGGCAGTAGCTCTGATATAGATTGGTCTCTGTGAGATGAGATCCCCAGACTTCTGCCAGTTCCTTGTCAACAGCAGTGAGGAAAAACACGCAGTAGGAAACACGCTGGGATCTCCCTGTGCCTGCAGTGTTCCTGCTGGTTTGCAGCCCTAGGAGAAGACAGCAGTGCCTGTTAGCTGTGACCTGGAGTCCCCAGGGAGGGCTCAGCACTTCTCTCAGGACAGTAAGGTCCATAACTGATATGTAGATAACAGAAATTTCTTGCATTGCTGGAGGTTGAGCAGTGTATTAATGGTAAAAGTGTAAAAAGTAGCTGCTGTAGTATTTAATGTGTAACAGTTGCTCTGTTGTCTGTGCTCTCTTACTCAGCAGTAAGTTCTCTAAAATTGAGAAAATGCACTGTAGGAGACTCTTCTGTTTGTATACGAACTCTGAGCAGGTTTGCAGGTTCTCTCTAGACACTGAATCATGTTTTTTGATCACTTGACTGCTGGTGTGTGCATGGAAGAACCTGGCCTTGCCTATGAGCAAGTGCTCCCCAAACCTGTTGTGCCAATTTTATGTTTGGTGCTTAATTGAGGAGTGTTCACTTGGCCTCTGAGTTGGTCCATCTGGTGAAAGGTGTGAGGTTTTAGGGATAATGAATCCTTCAAGTACTGGAGCATATGAATAATTTAAAAAGTGAGTGTTGTGTTTTATGTAGCAGTGTAACTGCAGATGTAAGATGTGCTTAAATCACGCTGCTCTTTAAATACTGCAAACATCTCTGGCTTAAAGTGACATTAGCTCATGATAACCTTTCTAATAATTCCCACAAATTCATTTAATTATTATTTAAAAATACAAGACAACCTGGATTTTTTTCAAAGCTAGAATGCTTTCAAAAATAAAGGAGAAAAACTGTATTTGAGCCAGTCCTAGTAATGAGCGTTTGTGTAAATGCTCATAAAACCTTCCTGCTGGTGAGTAGCAAACGTGCTCCAAACAGCTGTGCTGTGTCAGGCTGAGGAGCTCAGCCTTTGTCTGTGACATGAAAAAACAACCCACAACCAAAATCGGGTACGAGCACGAGGCAACGTGATCCTTTGGTGTGCTCCTCCAGTTATTGGCAGCCTTTGGTTTTGGAAACTCCTTGAGCCAGGATTTGCATCTGGAATGTAATCGAATAGTCCTCTCTGGACTTTGCTTCCATCTATTCTTCTCCATGGCTTTTGGAGTCCATTTATGCTTTTGGCCAACATCCTGTGTAAATGCATTTGGCTGGCTGGGGGTGTGTGGGTTTTGAGTTTGAACTGTTTGATAACTCATATTTGTCTAGCAAGGGGAGGGAGAAAAATAGTCTTTGTCTATTTCTTTCTGCAAGTGGTTTGTAATTTCTTTAGATTTCTTGTGTGTTATGCCTTAGCTGTCTTTTCACATGTATGGATTTCTATATTTAGCATTTTCTTCTGTATAAGATATGCTGCTTCATGAGGTAGATCTCATCACACTCTTGTTATACCTTTTTCTCCTTCTACCCTGATTTCATTCAGATTTTGTGCATGCCAGGGATTTATGCAGTGACTTAAATATATTAAAAATTATTAAGAAAGGAATGGAACAGAGAATTTCCTATTTTTTTCCTCCCTAGCTAGTGCTTTCATTATGCTGCTGGTTTTCTATTTTATAATGCCTCACACTATCCTTATCTGTGAATTTTAATTCTTTCCATCTAGGCTTATTCTGGGTCCTGCTTTAACTACAGCACAAAAGCTTTAAATCAGTTGAAGTGTTCAGAAGTTTATTTTCCATCTAAACTTGTTGCTTCATTTTTTTCTGTAGTCCAAATTTGAAAACAGAATCATAATTTATGGTGTTCAGCCTCATAAATTAAAGGTGAATTGCCTTTTTTTACAGTCGCAGAAAATCAGAAAAACTGTCGGGAAAGGGGTAGGAAGTGTCTTGCTTGTATTTCCAGTAAGTGGAAAAGTTTCCTATGGTGACTTGCTCTGCAGATTAATGAGGCAGGGATTATCAAATGCTCAGTGAGGTTGCAAAATTCAGTGTTACCAGTAAGTCTGAGATGTGAGAAAAGAAGTACACAGGATCTAAATTTAGTGTTTTCTCTGTTTCTCCTCATCTTTCTGACATCTGTTTGTAGCATTTATGGAACTGTTTTGTGGAGATGGAGAAATGTTAAGTTTAGATTCACTTTACTGGGGATTTTGCTGAGTCACACTTTTAACTGCTAAGAGTTGGGTGGAAGAAGCATTGACTGTTTTGCTCATTATGTAAAGCTTTCATTCTCATGTGTTTTAGAGACACTTGTTGAAGCAGATGTGTTCTAAAAATTTTGAGAGGTGCTGTGGGTGTGCATAGGACAGCATTCCTGCTAGTCTCTATGCTGTGTTTTTATGTTTGTCATGCAGTGTGTGTCTGTTTGTCGCTGCTGATGCTGGTGTCCCACTACTGAGCCACTTTGTCCCAGATCAGGCTCTATGTGTGACTTGGTGGCAGCATCTGTGTCTGGAACAGTCAGAGCAATGCTGATGCCACGTGCTGCCCATGGGTGACCTTACAGTGGTTAATCCACTCCCACAGGCTCTGGGGGACCTAACTTTAGTTCCCTTTTTTTTCTCAGGGAGGGTCAAACCTGCATTTCCAATGAGCAGCAGCCAGCAGATAAGTGACTGTTCCAGGACTGGAGCAGTCTGTATGCCTTTGATTGAAACTGTTCTGTGGTTTTCTCCACACAAATAATGAAACTTTCCCTAACAACAAACAGCCTCTTGAGAACCTCTGTGTCTCCAGTGTGTGCAGGGAACGTCAGAGCAACAGTGTGGGGAAATGCACTGGGACTGAGGTCCTTGTCCCCTCTTCTATCCAGGCACGAGTCGTGCCCACCTGCAGCCATTCCTTTGAGATGCTGTGCAGTGGCTGTGAGGTGGAGAAGGGTTAAACCAGCCTCAGAGCTGGAGCTGGAGCCAGGGGAGATCCTGCAGGGCCCAGGCAGGAGAAAGGTCAGAGCTGCGTGGGCTGGGAGCTCTGCGCAGGGCCCAGGGCAGCGAGGGGACGTGGTGACCCACGGGGGATGGAAGTGGCTGGGGAGATGGTGGCCCTTGGGGAGATGGTGATCACTGTCCCACACACAGTGCTGGTTAACCATTTCATACACAACAGTTCTCACAACAGAGACAAACCTGGCATGAGACACATAGAAATAACCGTGTCCTGATGTCCCAGTCACCACAATCCTCTGGAAAAATCTCCCAAGTTCTTAACTGGGCATAGTGGGGAGCTGACCCAGCCTTCCAGTTGCAGCCAAGGTGGAAGTGTGTGCAAGGGATGGTTTGCAAAAGTGTGTGAAGCTGCGAGATGTCATGGAGGCATCTGCAGTTCAGAGACCGAGCCTTATAAGTGGGTTTTTCATGCTTCTGTTGGCTGGTGCCATTCAAATAACTAACCAGAAAGACTTCTGTTAGTAAAAGGATAAATTCTGCAACTGGGAATGAGAGTTGGCTTTTAGTCTGTATAACAGTTACTAAATAGTTGTATGGAATTTAAAGCATCAATTGGCAAATATATTTGATTTTAGTATTTTCATGGTATTGTGGGGATATATTCTCTACTCTATGAGAAGAAGTAACTATCAGTAGAGAATCATAAATATTTACAGTTTTGGGAAGCTGCTCTTCAGGAGCACTGCTGGATGTGACAACCACAACACTTCACTTTGAGTTGCTGTTCTGTGACATTCCACTAAGTTGCTTCTCACTTCCCTCTCTAATCTTGGTTGCTGTTGGGAAGTTACTGTTGTTGTGTGGTGCTGCTGAAGGACTGGAGGGTAGAAAAGTTCAAGTGTTAATAAAACATGCATGCAGTCTTGATAGCTTAAAGTATGCAAAAAAAGAGATCAGTTCAGTAATGTGGAGGCTCTTGTGAGTAGCTGTGGAAACAGAACTTCACTTTTGGAGATTTTTTTATTTTATTTATTTTTGCAACTCTAGAGCCAAAGATCAACATAATGAGAAAAGTGATCCAGTATAACCCAGACATTTTACTTGCGAATTCAGTGGTACTTGAGATGCTGAGTCACCATTAGCAGATCTGTCCATTACATTAAAATGGGGCTCACTATTGAGAAATAAATATTGGCCATTGGAAGCTATTTACTGCAGGTGAAGTTAAGAGTCAAGACTGAAGTTTCAAATTTCTTTAACCTCATGTGTTTGGCTTATTGCCATGAATATGAAATTAGCTTTCCTTAAAAACTGCAAAATGTGAAAATAACCAGCTCAGTAATCCTGAATTGAGTTTGAGAACTAGATCTCTTTGCTTCTAGATTTCTTTTCCTGTCACACATTGCTTAGCAAGTGTGGCAAGTTCAAAAAGTAAGCTGATTCTCAGGGAAAACTGGATCTGCTTTCCTGAGCCTGGTAGCTTGGAATCTGTGCAATGTCTTCAGTCCTGTGATGCTCTTCTGATCTCCCTAATGCTTGAGAAGGCTGGTCTGTCCTTTTTGGTGTCAGAAACCCAAATGCAAAGAGAAAGATGGAAGAATATGGTTTCAGGCGTGGTGTTACTTTTAAAGCTACAGCTATGATGATCAGTCATTAGTTCCCAGACACTTTTCTTAATTCCCAGACACTTTTCATACTCTCACTGATGTTTACTTTCATTATCTGTTGGTAGCACTGCTTGTTGCCATTAGCAGTTGCCGCTAATACTTTTTCCACCTGGGGAAATATTTTGTGGCTAAATTGCTTATAGAAGCAGGCTCTATCTTACTTCTGTTGGAGATGTTGCAATAAACAATGTTTTTGCTTCTCTCCTGAGTTCAGTCTCACCAGAACAGTGTCAAAAAAATAATCTACAAGTCCTTGTCAAGTCCTTCTTTTATACTTTAATCTTTACTCACTGACTTTCTTCTCTCAATCATTCTTTAGGGCTGCAGGGTTCTGGTTGATGCACGGGACAAGCTGGGGATCCCTTGGCAGTACACAGAGAATGAGAAGCATGGAATGTTCCTGATGGCCTTTGAGAACAAAGCTGGGATGCCCATCGAGCCTGCCACCTTCCAGCTCTACGTCCCTGCCCTGGGCGCGCTCTGGAGGGATTCGGGAATCAAGGAAGCCTTCAGCCGCCGCAGCGAGTACCAGCTGGTGAGTACATCCAGCTCCTCGGTGGGAGGAGAAAAGTGCTGCACTATAAATCTCTCTTCAGCTCAAACACAGCTTGCTACGTGCAAGATGGAGCCACCCTGTTAGCTGTTTGTAGGAGTGCTGTAAATCTGAGCACTTCAGCAGCAGAAACAAGTGGTAATTGGAGCCAAACTTGAAAAACTGCATGGCAGTAAGAGGGAGTGGAAAAGTGCACATGACTGGATAAACTGGAAGAGCAAGAGGAACCAAAAAAGGCAGGAATTGGTTGAACTAAAAATATTTTAGCAGCTCAGTAGGTCTGTTCATAGTAGGTCACTGATGAAGGCACACTTAATTTGTAACTTTCCAGTCCTGCCAGCTTGCACTGTATTGATACTGGCAAACTCTTCCTGCATGCAGCTCTTTTGAAGTGAATGCAACACCCATTCAGGCTGCTGCTCCCTGACTGTTTCTTTTCATCCTGACGTCTGCAAGTGAAACTTGGATAAGCAACTGAAAGATGACAGTGAGCATAAAAATGTGCTCTCTTCCCTGCTTTCTTGTTGTTAGGTCTTCATGCTCTTGTGCCAAAATAGCTGCACTTCTGGTATGGGATATGTTTCTGACAGCTGTTCATAATCCACTCCTTTTTTCTTCATATGTACAAGATGTAGAAGATCTTTTTTCTTCTCTTTTACTTCCCTGTTCTGTGGAGCAAGGTACTGATCCAGAAACTCACTGTTTCAAGGTACCTTGAAACAAGGTACCTTGAAACAAGGTACCTCAACTGCTGTTCCCTGTTCTGTGGAGCAAGGTACTGATCCAGAAAACCTGGTACCACAACTACTATGTTATCATTGTTGAATTAGAGGGGTTCAAGGACAGAAACAGGGCTTTGTGTAGTTTCCTTTAGATTCTTTTACAAAGGAGAAGGAAAACTAGAGAAATTGAATAGTGAAATTTTGATTGTTCCCTCATGCTGCTTCTCTGTGTGGGTTCTCTGGTGTCTGGTACTGTAGTTAAGCTCATGTTGCAGCCCTTAGCTACTCATCTGTCTCCACTAATAAGATGCCTGTTTGAGTCTTCTTGTTGCATATCTTTGAAATCTGTCTCTGAAGTATCATGAGACTGCCAAATAGGTAAAGAATAAATGAAATGAAGTAAAGCTGTCACAGGATGATGGGATAAACCTCACTTCCTTAGGCTAAAAATAAAACTGTTTCCATGTTACAGCACTCGGAGTGGGGGGAAGGATGTGCAGGGGGAGAGAGGATGGATTGATTGTTCTATTATTCCTAGCATCTGTAGACACAGGCTTTGCTGTTCTAAGCACTGTTCAAATGTGGAATAAAAAGATGGCTCATGCCACAGAGAACTTGAATTTGCCATGAAACAACTAAGAGAATCCAGTATAGTAAGCAACAGTTGCATCAGCAGCCTGCTAAGATTGTTTGGTTTTTTCCCTGGGAAATGCTATGGTCAAGCATGGATTTTGTTTGTAGAGGAAGATTCAGACGGGGATCATGTGGGAGGTTCATTCCTGTGCTATTTAGCAATGAAGTAGTATCAAACTGGGGGAAAAAAGTCCCATTTGTTCAATCAATTGTGTTCCAAAAGTAGTCGGCCTACCTCTGCATTCCCTGGCTTAGAGGATTAAACAGGAAATACCAAAAAAATAAAAAAGCCCCACAGAAACAAAGCAGAGAGGCATGCAAGTGATCATTGGATAGGCTGTCATCTTCAACATCATGCTGCAGTTCCATGGTGCATCCTTTTGGATGCCACTGGTGTCACCTGGGTGATGTTACTGGGGCACCTGGACCTGCTGCAGGCACCAGGGCTGTTACCCTGTCAATACTGCAGCCACTGTGTCACAAAAACTCTATCCCAGTCCTGCACCTGTGGCACTGACAGCATGAAAATCTGGGTGCTGTTATTTTATTGTGCAGACTGCACCAGGGGATTAGGAAGTGCCTCACTTGTAACTAAAAAAAAAAAAGTGCTTGGCTGCAGAAAAGGTTTTTAAATGTACTGGATTAAACAAATTATTAACACCTTAATACTTGGAACAAGTTTCCATATCTTGCTTCTAAGTTCAGCAGAAGTCTGATGCCCTCAATATATGGGAATAAGCAACTGTACAATTCTTTTAAAAAAATTTATAACTACATAATGTTTTAAAGAATGAGGTGGTTTAAGGAGATGCCTAATTTGTAATTGCATATGATATGTATAAACCCGTACCTTCATTTAGTTTAAACCCTTGCTGTATATAGACTTGTGTAAATAAATAGAAGCCAGATATAGTGGACTCTGAGAAAATAAATCTTTTCTGAACTGATTTTAACTCAGGCTAAAGAAAACCCCTGCATCAGCACTCTCTTTCTTCCCTAATATAAGCTAGCTATTAAATGGAATATGCTTGGTTTAAACTGAATTTATTATCTTTAAAATAGTTCTTAAATCATCACCAGAATTTTGCAGCTTTACATTACTGTGATCTTTCTGAATGTGCCTTGATACTGTTTGAAAAAACAACTCCACTCAACACTGGCATTTTCTTCACCCTCATCTGCAGTCAACTGAACACCAGCTTTTTTTAAATCATTGTTGTTATTTTGGCTTCAAAGCTGTAGGATTATTGCTCTGCTTGTGAATGCTCTGTTTCTCCAGGAAGCTGTGGGCCTGTTAAAAAGTAAAACACAGTGGTTGATTGACTAGAGCTGAAAATTGCAGTGTGCAGGTGCCTTCCTATGGCCTGCAATGCCCAGCTCAGTGACTGACTCAGCAGTACCAAACTTGTTGAAAGAAAACAGCTCTGACCATAACCCTGTGCAATCTAAAAGCTGCTTCTCTGGCACTGCAGAAGCTGCCTCTGGGCATTTGAGTGTTTTCTGCTTCATACTCAGTGCCTACAAGTGCTGGTTGTAAATCCCTGTCTGGGTCTTTGAGCGTTTCAGAAGTGAGTGGGTGGATTCTACAATAGCAGGGAGGCGTTTTTTTTTTTTTTTTTTTTTTTTTTTTTTTGCTTTTGTCTTCCCAGCCTTTCTTAAAGCAGACGAACCAATTTTGCTTTCCTTTTACAAACATCAGCCTCTCTCTCTTCCCCTACCCCAGCCAGTCCCCACCAACCCAAGTTCCTCTGTTCCTTGTATGGGAGCCAAGTAGTTTGGGGACAAAAGCTCCATTGTATGTTTGCTTCCATTGTCACGTCTGTCCTGGTTTTTTTAACTACTGGAATAGGAATTCCTTTGTAATCAGAATGGGATTCTTCTCCCTTCTCCCTGCCCTCATTATCCCCCCACCCATTTTCTGTCTGTGTGTTAGACAGGAATACACTGGTCACCAGTCTCCAAATGTCCTGGGAAGTTTGTTCCTTGGAGAGTGCCCGTGGTAGTTTGGGCAAGGGGCTGAGTACCAGCAGGAGGAGACAAATCCCACTGGGAATGCTCCTGGAGAGCAGGCAGTGGGGTTTCCTGCAGGATTCAGCTGCAGGGCTGGGAGCTTCTGCAGTTGGAGTCTAATGGCAGCTCTTGGGTGTATTTGGGAGTTTGGGTGTGTGTATCTGCAGGCTCTTTTTCACCCAGTAGTGACATTTCCTTTTATGCTATAAACCATGGTGACCAAGGCCAAGATAGGAATTGCTTTGGTCATGTGGTTTCTGTTTTGTTTTGTGGTTTGGGGGTTTTTTGGTTTTTTCCATCCTCTCAGGTCTCTACTGTGAGAATGTGAGAAGCCATTCACTTCTCTTTAATGTGCCCAGAACAAAAAGTCTGACACAAGGTTAGATATTCCTTTGACTTCTTGCAGCTTGGCATGCTTGATGTCATTGTGGGTAAAGATGGGACAAATAGGGCTTGTCAGGGAAAAAAATTATATTTTTGTCACGGGCAGAACAGATGGATAGTGATGAGCAGATCTGCCAAGGCCATCATGTGGCTTTATCAGTTCTTAGAGCAAAATTGACATTGTTGTTATAGAAAATATGTTCCTGATCCACCACCAGAATATCAATTGAGATTGTTGTTATTGATGTATTCATATTATTATTGATGTTCCCTGCAGTGTTAAAAGACTTTCTGGTGTTTTATTAGGTCTTTTAAAAAGAAAAAAATAAATGTCAGCATTAATGGGAAGTTGTGGTTCCTGAGAGGGAAGTAAGGCTCTTGCAAATATAGACAAAAACCTTAGTACTGTGTCCATAGCTATTTTTAGCTGTGTGCACAGGGAATTGTATGGAACACTTCCATTAATACTTCAAATACTGAGAGCCTCTGAAGCCTTGGTTGTGGGAAGACTCTGAAAATGTTTTAAAGACCCTTTCTTTTATACTCATTCACCATTCTCTGGGTGTGAGTGAGGGGGAATTGGGAGATATTTGCAACAGGACATGGGTCACCCTCTGAGAATTAACTATGGGGTTTGCTGTTTTTCTTTTAAGCAGCCCCTGGAACTGGTTAAATTCTGCCTGCCAGGACAGGCAGTGTGCTGGAACACTGCAGAGGGACAGCCTGCTCCTTGGGGTAGGAGAGCTTTGTTGCTGCATTCTCACCAGGCAAGGAGCTGATGGCTTCAGAGCCTCACAGGCAGTCAGCTGTGTGCTCTGGCCAGTGTGCAGGGGAGGCACCAGTTATTCACACTAATTCTCAGTTCAGGGTAGACAAACTGTGGCTTAAATGTCTTTATTTTTGTACAGAAATGCTCAGTACAGCAGTGATGTAATCAGGAGTTGGGCTGTACATTGGCCCCTGAGGCACTGGGAGATTTTTTGGCAGCATTTGGCTGAAGCCAAGTGAATTGAGAGATGGGGCAGCAGAAAACTGACGTAATGTGACAAGTAGGTGACTTTGAAGTGACATATTCAACAAAATCTACAGCCATGGGCTCTATTTTGTCAGAATTCTTCAGTGCACTTCAACAAAGATTTCCTGAATCCTGAAGCACAAAGTTTCCAACTGATGATTTCTCTTGAAGATGCAATGGCAGAGCAGAGGCAGCCCTAAAAGCATGTTTCTAGGCTA